AGGGTTTAGGGTTTAGGATTTGATTGTATCAACAAAAAGCGCAGCAAAGACAAGCAAAGAAAGGCGGGGACGAAAAGACAGGGAGAGAAATGCTGATAAGTACAACTTCATGTTTATTTTGAAAATTGAGGGTTTGGGGTTTAGGGTTTAGGGCTTAGGGTTTAGGGTTTAGGGTTTAGGGTTTACGGATTGGGGTTTAGGGTTCACGGAAATAATGCAAGCTCCTGCTAGCTGTAGCTAGCTGTAGCTAGCTGTAGCTGGCTGCAGCTAGCTGCAGCTAGCTGCAGCTAGCTGCAGCTGGCTGTGGCCACCTCCAGCTAGCTGTGGCTAGCTGCGGTAGCTGCAGCTAGCTGCGGCTAGCTGGAGCTAGCCGCAGCTAGCCACAGCTAGCTGCAGATAGCCGCAGGTATCCACAGCTAGCTGTAGCTAGCTGTAGCTAGTTGTAGCTAGCTGCAGCTAGTTGCAGCTAGTTGCAGCTAGCTGCAGCTAGCAGGAGATAACAGCTGTGGCTAGCTGTGGCTAGCTGTGGCTAGCTGTGGCTAGCTGTGGCTAGCTGTGGCTAGCTGTGGCTAGCTGTGGCTAGCTGGTGCTGCTGCTCTTTCTGTTTTGCTGCTCGCACTGCCGCTTCTGCTGCAATGCTGATGCTGTTGGTGCTTTTGGCGCTGCTGCTGCTGCTATTGCTGCTGCTGCTGTTGCTGCTGCTGCTGCTGCTGTTGCTGCTGCTGCTGCTGCTGTTGCTGCTGCTGCTGCTGTTGCTGCTGCTCGATTCTAATTAGTCTGATGCAGCTCCCCCAAGTGGAAATTTCTTGAAAGTTCACTTTGAGAAATTTCAGCAAGAATTAAAAATTAGAATATTTGTTGTATAAACAATTTGAATTAGATTAATTAATTAATTAATTAATTAATTTAATCAAATAAATAAATTAGTTAATTAATTTAAATTAATTAACTAATTAATAATAATAAATAAATAAATTAATTGATTAATTAAAATGAGGTGTGTATACATACTGCGCACGGAAGCCTCTCTTTGTTATTTATATTTATTTATTTATTCTTTCACTTTTATTTATTTTTATTTATTTCCATTTCTTTTTATTTATTTTAATTATTTTAATTTAATTTATATTTGTCTTCTAATGAAGACATATTTATATTTATTTATTTAGGCACATCTTTTTGTTTTTTTACAGATTTGCACTCTATAATTTTTTCTATTTTTAATTATCTTTTTAATAAATGCATTTATAAATATATTGTCTTTTAATTAAATGCATTTTTATATATTTTATTATTTACTTTGTTTTATTTTATCTTCTTTTATATTTATTTATTTCAATAAATATCTTTTTTTTAATTCTTTTTTATTTGTTTTAGCAAATCTCTCTGTTTTTAATAAATATTCTTCATTATGCTTTTTTAATTTATTTATTTCTATTTTTATATTTTTGTTTTTAAATAAATACTTAAAGATAAATGATTTCAAATAAATCATTTGAATCAACTCTCTTTAAATAAATCATTTTAAATTCAATTTCAAATTTTATATCTTCACTAATATTTACATGTATATATTTTAAATATATTTAAAATATATTTAAAATATATTTTAGATATATTTAAAATATATTTAAAATATATTTTAAATATATTTTAAATATATTTTAAATATATTTTAAATATATTTTAAATATTTTTTTGAGATAGAGATTTTAAAATAGAAATGGCAGCAACTTTATAATATAAATAAATGTATTTGTAGAAATAGTAGATTACGTAGAATAATAAATATAAACGAATCTGCAGATTTTGCATTTTTAGAAAATATTTTAAAATACTTTTTTTTAAATTAAAATATATTTTTTGAGACAAATGTTTTTTCCTGATTCAATTATGTATATTTATTTCCAGCAGCAAAGGCTGCTGCTGCTGCTGCTGGTTATGCTGCTGCTGCTGCTGCTGTTGTTGTTGCTGCTGCTGCTGTTGTTGTTGCTGCTGCTGCTGTTGTTGTTGCTGCTGCTTGTAGTGCTGCTGCTGCTAATGTTGCTGCTGCTTCTAATGCTGCTGCTGCTAATGCTGCTGTTGCAGCTAGTGCTTCTGCCGCTGATAAATTTTGCTGCTGCTGCCAGTTTTGCTGCTGCTGCTGCTGCTGCTGCTGCTGCTGCTGCTGCTGCTGTTGCTGCTACGTCAGCAGAAACAAAGCTCAGTAGGAACTGATGGCTGAAAGCTGCCGCATCCACTCGCGCATACAGCAGTTAGCACAAACCCTAAACCCTAAACCCTAAACCCTAAACCCTAAACCCTAAACCCTAAACCCTGGACACTTCACGCTTAGCCGTGAGGGTCTGGCCAGCAGCAGCAGAGCCAGCAGCACACGATCCTTAGCGGCATTTCTGCCTAGGGTTTAGGGTTTAGGGTTTAGGGTTTAGGGTTTGGAGGTCAGGGTGTAGGTTTTAGGGTTTAGAATTTAGAGTTTGGGAGTGAGTGTCTGGGAGGATCAGCAAGCTGCTCAGGCTGCAGCAGCAGCAGCAGCAGCACTAGCAGCAGCAGCAGCAGCTGCTGCTGCTACTTTTTACAAGCTTCCAGAGACATTTAGAAGGATATCTGCAGAGATTAGAGCTTGGGGTTTAGGGTTTAGGGTTTAGGGTTTAGGAACTAGGGTTTGGCAGTGGGGCCTGGAAAAATGCAAATTGCGGCCTTGTCTTGCTGCCCACTGTAAGGTAATTTAGGCTTGTGTGCTGCTGCTGCTGCTGCGTTGCTGCTGCTGCTTGTTTGCTGTTGCTGCTGCGTTGCTGCTGCTGCTTATTGAGATCCGAACTGTGCTGCTGCTCGGGGTGCCTTGTGCTGCTGCTGCTGCTGCTGCTGCTTGTGGCACTAAATGGGAACATACAGTTCAACTAAAAGTAAAATAAACTTTGGAATTAATTTGGAAACTTCTTTTTAACTGCTGCAGCTTTATTTCAATGTTTCTGCGCAACAGAATGTGTGGTCCGCTGCACACGGCGTGTCTGCAGGGTGGAGTGCATCTCAAGGATTACTTCTCAGTTTTTTTTCCTGAAAAGACCCTTTAAAAGACTAAAAATGCATTTTAATTTCCCTTTTAATTGTAATTAAAGGAAAACGGCGAAGAAAAGAGGAGCGTGAGGCTGCAGAGCGGCGCTGCTGCGGCAGGTGGGTGAGCAGCAGCAGAGCAGCAGCAGCAACCGCGGCGTTGCTGCTGCTGCTCGGTTTGCCGCCTGTGGCCGTATTTTCGATTGAAATGTTTCTTGTTGTGTCTTATAAGAGCATTTTCTTTATTTTTACTCAAATTTGCTTCTCTTGTATCGCCAGTTCCGTCCTGTTTCAGCCCCGCTGTGTGTCTGGAGCAGCAGCGGCGCGCAGCAGCAGAGGTCACCTGCGGTGTACGTACACCTCAGGTGTGTCGCTGCGCCTTTTTGGTCGAAACAGCTTCTCCAAGCATCTCACTTTCCATTAACAATCCCTGACAGCAGGTACTGTAGGTGCTGTAGCCCTCCGGACCGCAGCAGAGCAGCAGTAGCAGCAGCAGCGACGGCAGTTGCAGCAGCAGCAGCAGCAGCAGCAGCAGCGACACCCGTGTCCTTGCTAACCACTGACTGAAACAGAGAGAGTCCGTTCTGAAAGCGTTTAGTGACAGTGGCACTGGAAGTCCTAGTAACAACACAAACAGCCGCAGCAGCAGCAGCAGCAGCAGCAGCAGCAGCAGCAGCGGCTGCTGCAACACACGTGGCAAACCGCGCGCAGCCGTTCGACGCACCTGCTGCAGTTGTTGCCCACATCGCCGTGGAATGCGGCAGCACCTCCTCTCTGGCCCAGCAGCAGCAGCAGCAGCAACAGCAGCAGAAACTGAGATAGCAGCAGCAGCGGCAGCAGCAGCAGCAGCTGAAGCAGCAATCATCCTTGGTGTCTGCCTATCGATGCTGGAAATCTTGCACAAGGCTACATCTTCATAGGCAGCAACTGCACCGCAGCAGGTAGAGCAGCAGCATCAGCAGCAGCGTCAATCGAACAGCAGCAGCAGCAGCAGCAGCAGCAGCAGCAGCAGCAGCAGCAGCAGCAACAGCAGCAGCACACCCTTATTCACTAAGGGGGCCCCAACAGGTTACGCCGGCGGAAGCAGGGGTCCCCATTGCCCTAAAAATGCCGCACATGCCCCGCCGTGACGGACCTGCTGCTGCTGCTGCAGCAGCAGCAGCAGATAGCAGCAACAGAGGCAGCAGCAGCAACAGCAGCAAACTCAGCAACAAGGCCTCTGCCACGGAAAAGCAAAACAAAATCGCGTTCCCAAAGGAAAAAAGCCAACAGGTTGCTGATTCATTTGTCACCAAACAGCAGCAGCAGCAGCAGCAGCAGCAAGAGCAGCAGCAGCACGAGCAGCAGCAGCAACCTGGACAGGCGAAAGGACAAGCAACCAAGCAGCAGCAGCAGCAGCAGCAGCAGCAGCAGCAGCAGCAGCAGCAGCAGCAGCAGCAGCAGCAGCAGCAGCCTCTGGCCTCAATTGCTCAAGCCATTGCTGAGGCCAGCAGACAAAGAGATAAGAATCTAAACGAACAGCAGCAGCTGCTGCGCCAACGACTCGTGGAGCTGCAGCAGCAGCAGCATTTGCTGCAGCAGCAGCAGCACCTACAGCAGCAGCAGCACCTACAGCAGCAGCAGCACTTACAGCAGCAGCACAGGCTGCATCTTCAGCCGCAAACTAATCATGTGATTCGTGGTGACCAGGAGGAGATGCAGCAGCAAAATATGCCGCAGCAGCACCTGCAGCAGCAGCACTACCTGCAGCAGCAGCATTTGCAGCAGCAGCGCCTGCAGCAGCAGCATCTGCAGCAGCAGCAGCAGCATTTGCAGCAGCAGCAACAGCACTTGCTGCAGCAGCGCTTGCAGCCGCAGCCACAACAGCACCAGTACCATTTCCAACAGCAGCAGCACTTCCTTCACCAGCAGCAGCTGCAGCAGCAGCAACAGCAGCAGCTGCAGCTGCAGCAACAGCACCTGCAGCAGCCCCTGCCGCGGCAGCTGCATTTGCAGCAGCAACACTCACAGCGGCAGCAGCCGCACATGCAGCCGCAGCCGCAGCAGCTGCTGCAGCAGGAGGAACTGCAGCAGCAGCAGCAGCAGCAGCAGCAGCCAGCAGCTAACCTAGCCGGCGGGAACCGACTTGTGCTGCAGCTGGCTCTGGAGCTGCTGCAGCGGCAAAGACAGCAGCAGGGAGTTCCCGTGGCTGGTGCTGCTTTGCTGCAGAACTCTGCTGCTGCACCTTTTGGCGCAGAGGGAAACATGAAGATAAATAAAAGAAATAGAGACAAAGCTGCTGCTGCTGCTGCTGCTGCTGCTGCTGCTGCTGCTGCTGCCAACGGTGTTGCGGTGGATCCCCCGCTGCCTCTGTGGCAGAAGAACGCGCTGAGCGCAGCAGCGGCCCAAGCAGCAGCAGCAGAAGCAGCAGCAGCAGCAGCAGCAGCAGCGCAAGCAGCAGCAGCAACGCAAGCAGGGTTCGGTCGGCGGCTGCCGCCCGTGGCTCCTGTTTTGCAGGGGCCGCCAATAGCTGAATCTGCTGCGTTGCTGCAGCAAGCTTTGCTGCTGCAGCAGCAGCAGCAGCAGCAGCAGCGGGCCGGGCTGCCGCTGCAGCAGCAGCAGCAGCAGCAGCTGGAGGTGCCGCTTGCTGCAGCAGCGCACTCGCACGCAGCGCTGACCGCGCCCGGCGCGGGCTCGCCCGGCGCGCTGCCCCCGCAGCAGCACCCCACAGCAGCAGCAGCAGCAGCAGCAGCAGCAGCAGCAGCGGCGGCGGCAGGCTGCAGGTGGCAGCAGCAGAAAGCCTTGCTGCTGCTGCACTCGGCAGAAAAGACCTCTTCGTCGTGCTGCAGGCAGCAGCAGGGCCTCTCCACAAACACGTCAACCTGCAGCAGCTGCAGCAGCAAACTGCTGCGGGCTCTTTCCTCCCGCCCCAAGGAGGTGCCTGCTAGGGTTTAGGGTTTAGGGTTTAGGGTTTAGGGTTTAGGGTTTACGGCGAGCGCCGCGAGGGTTTGGGCCGGAAGCAAATGCGCGAAAGGGTTTGCCGCTGCTGCTGCTGCTGCTGCTCCCCGCGCAGCCAGGGTTTAGGGTTTAGGGTTTAGGGTTTAGGGTTTAGGGTTTAGGGTTTAGGGTTTGGGGTTTGGGGTTTATTTGCGCAGTGCTGGACCTGGTGTCGCACCTGCTGCAGTCGCTGCTGCAGGTGCATGCGTTGTGCGGGGGTGTGGGGTCTCACCTGTCGATACACCCCAACAACTTGCTGCTGCTGCTGCCTTCCTTCGATGTCTTCCTCGGAGACAGCCTCAGCAGCAGCAGACTTCTCTCGCTGCTGGCGGAACTCAAAACTGGCACTCTTCCCTGCCTCGTCAAGGCCCAGCTCTCCCTCAAACTCGTCAGCTCCTGCTGCTGCTGCTGCTGCTGCTGCTGCTGCTGCTGCGGCTGCTGCTGCGGCTGCTGCTGCTGCTGCGGCTGCTGGTGCTGGTGCTGCTGCTGCTGCTGCTGCTGCTGCTGCTGCTGCTGCTGCTGCTGCTGCTGCTGCTGCTGCTGCAGCTGACTGCTGCTGCTGCGGCTGCTGCTGGTGTTGCTGCTGGTGTTGCTGGTGCTGCTGGTGCTGCTGGTGCTGCTGCTCGTGGTGCTGCTGGTGGTGCTGCTGGTGGTGGTGGCAGTGCTGGTACTTTTGCTGCTGCTGCTGCTGCTGCTGGTTCTGGTGCTGTTGCTGCTGCTGCTTTTGCTGCTGCTGCTGGTGCTGTGAATGCGGTGCTGTCGAGCGGCAAGTGCGGCAGTTAAGTGCACAGTGACTCCACGCACACATTTATTTCTATTGTTCTGCTGCTGTTTTTGCTGCTGCTGCTGCTGCTGCTGCTGCTGCTGTTGCTGCTGCTGCTGCTGCTGCTGCTGCAGTTTTTAGATGACACGGACCGCCTGCTGTGGACTTCTCCCACTTTAATTTGTCGGCTAAAAGAGCTGCAGCAGCAGCTGAATTCACTTATGGCTTTCCACGCGGAGCACCAGCACTTGCTGCATTCGCAGCAGCAGCAGCAGCAGCTGCTGCAGCAGGGGGACACCTGCATGGTCCTGCACGACAAATCGGCAGCAGCAGCAGCAGCAGCAGTGGCAGCAGCAGCAGCTCCTGCTGCTGCTGCGTCGCACAGCGCGCCCGCCATGCCCGAGGTAGCAGCAGGGTCGGCATTTGCTGCTGCAGTCCCAGCAGCAGCAGCAGCAGCAGCAAAAGCAGCAGGAGAAACAGCAGCATTGCATGCAGCCCTAGAGCAGCGTTTTGCTGCTCTTTACAAATTGGCAGACCTTCCAACGGCACTGCAGCAAAGCGCAGACTGCTGGTCTTTGGGTGAGCTCGAGGGTTTAGGGTTTAGGGTTTAGGGTTTAGGGTTTAGGGTTTAGGGTTTGGCGCCTGGAGTTTGAGGTACTCCACTTTGCCCATGCGGCTCAAAGCGACACTGCAGAGATTGAAGCAAATTGTGTACAGCAGCAGAAGCAGCAGCAGTCGCAGCAGCAGCTGCAGCTGCAGCTGCAGCTGCAGCATCAGCAGCTGCTGCTGCTGCAGCAGCAGCTGCTGCTGCTGCAGCAGCAGCAGCAACACGGGACGTGTTCAGACCACGCCAAGCCCCATCTATAGCCAGATCAGCTCACAAACGCAGACGCACAAGTAATGCATACCCTGCTGCTGCGCTGCTGCTGCTGCTGCTGCTGCTGCTGCTGCTGCTGCTGCTGCTGCTGCTGCTGCTGCTCAGGTGCTTGCATTTTCAACATTGTGAGTGGCGGTTTGCATCCCTACGGGCCAATCGACAACCCAAAGGAAACCCTTTCCAATATGGAGAAGGGAGACATGGTCAACATCAAGCTTGTAAGGGTTTAGGGTTTAGGGTTTAGGGTTTAGGGTTTAGGGTTTAGGGCTTAGGGTTTAGGGTTTAGGGTTCAGGGTGAAGGACTTTCGAAGGCTCCTAGAGGCTACTTCGATTAATGTGGCAGGCTTCTGGTCTTCACTTCGCCAGCTTCAGGGTTTAGGGTTTAACGTCTAGGGTTTGGGGTTGAGTGTTTAGGGTTTAGGGTTTAGGGTTTAGGGTTTAGGGACCTTTAGGGCTCCTAGGATTTCCCTATTGGGGTTTGTCGCTCAGTTCTAGGATTTTGGAGTCCTTTTTGTGTGGAGTTTAGGGTTTAGGGTTTAGGGTTTAGGGTGTAGGGTTTGACGCTGACGTTTTAGGGTTTAGGGTTTGCTCCGTGTTGTGGGTGCAGCTTGACAAGTCCCCGCTGCTGCAGGATTTGCTGCTGCTGCTGCTGCAGCCACCGCAGCAGCAGCAGCAGCCAGTGCTTCGCCTGGCTGTGTGCCATCCTGTGTTTTGGGCAGCTTCGGACATGCTGCTGTTTCTCCGGGCGTTTAAGCTCATGCTGCAGCAGCAGCAGCAGCTGCAGCAGCAGCAGCAGCAGCAGCAGATCGACGCCGAATCTGCAGCAGCTTTTGGCTCAGCACAGGGTAGCAATTCTATGCAAAGCAGCAGCAGCAGCAGCAGCGAGAAGCGGCTGTGTGCGCCAGAGTTGGAAATCCCCGCAGCAGCAGCACCAGCAGCAGCAGCAGCAGCAGCAGCAGCAGCAGCAGCACCAGCAGCAGCAACAGGGCAGCTGCATGCAGCGCTGGCGAAGCTGGAAGCAACAGCTCTTCCTCTTGATGTTTTAAATTCACTTTGCGAAGAGCCCTTTTTAAGAAAAACTGGCAGGGCCTTGTTTCCCCAGTACAGCGAGGTGGGCTCTTGCTGCTGCTGCTGCTGCTGCTGCTGCTGCTGCTGCTGCTGCTGCTGCTGCTGCTGCTGCTGCTGCTGCTTCTGCTGGTTTTGCTGGTGTTGGCGGTGCTGGTGCTGGTGGTGCTGGTGGTGCTGGTGCTGGTAATGGTGCTGCTGCTGCTGCTGCTGCTGCTGCTGCTGCTGCTTGTGCTGCTGGCGCTCCTGGTGCTGGTGCTTGTAGTGGTGCTGTTGCTGTTGCTGCTGCTGCTGTTTCCGTTGCTGCTGCTGCTGCTGGTCTTGCTTCCGTTGCAAGCGGCTTTGCTGGTGATGTTGGGCGCGGTTACGTTGCTGCCTTTGCCGCTGCTGCTGCTGCACTCGCTGCTGCTGCTGCTGAACTCGCTGCTGCTACTGCTGCTGCTGCTGCTGCTCATATAAGCAGTGCTGCTTATGTGCTGCTGCAGCTATTCGCCGAGCCCAAAACAGCAGCCGCACCAGCTGCAGCAGCAACAGAAGCTGCAGCAGCACCTGCTGCAGCAGCAGCAGAAGCAGCGAAGAAGCCTAAGGATGCTGCTTCCGACGCCATTGTTGCTGCTGCATGCAGCAGCAGCAGCAACAGCACCGAGGGAACAGTGCAAGACACAGAAGGCAGCACGCCCTTAGCAGCAGCAGCAGAAGTCAGTGCAGCAGCTGCTGCTTCTCCTTTAGCAGAAACTGCGGATGCAGCAGCAGCAGCAGCAGCAGCTTCTGGTGCTGCTGCTGCTGCTGCCTCTCCAGCAGAAGCTCAAACTGCTGCTGATACACCACAAACCCCGAAGGTTGTGAGCAGCCAGTCTGCAGCAGCTGCAGCAACAGCAGCAGCAGCAGAACAAGCAGCAACTGCAGCAGATGCTGCTTCGAAGGCTACAACAACAGCAGCAGCAGAACCCACTGAAGCACAACCTCTTGCAGCAGCAGCAGCAGCAGCAGCAGCAGCAGCAGAGCCAGTTTTTTCTGTTTTGGACTTCCTGAAACTGCTGGCCACATTCGCTAGCGACAGTGCGAAACCTGCTGCTGCTTCTGCTGCTGCTTCTGCTGCTGCTTCTGCTGCTGCTTCTGCTGCTGCTTCTGCTGCTGTTTCTTCTATTCGTGCTGTTGCTGTTGCTGGTGCTGCTGCTGCTGCTGCGTGTGCTTCTGGGTGTATTGGCAGCTTGCGCTGGCCAGCAGCTGCTGCAGCAAGACAAACTCCATATTTGCTGCTGCTGCTGCTGTTGCTGCTGCTGCTGTTTGTTCGCAGCAGCTGAACTCGACGAAGAGCACCGCAGCAAAGTTCTCGTGCGGCTGCTGCAGCAGCACCCGCAGCTGCTGCTGGCAGCAGCAAGATCTGGCTTAGAGCCTCTCTTTTTGGTTGCCTTCCCCCCGATAAGGGATCCTGCTGCTGCAGCAGGGAAGCAGGAGGCAGCAGCAGCAGCCGCTGCTGCTGCTGCTGCTGCTGCTGCAGCGAAGACGAACACCGGCTTTGCAAATGAGAAGCCGGAGCTAGACAGACAGGGGCAGCAGCAGCAGCTGCTGCTGCAGCAGCAGCAGCAGCAGCAGCACGTCTCCAGCGACATGCAGCGCGATGACGCCTCTGCAGCAGCAGCAGCAGCAGCAACAGCTGCTGCTCCTGCTGCAGTGTCACCAGAATTTAAGCAGCAGCTGCTGCAGATCCAGAAGCAAATTGACAACAGAGTGCATGCAGACATTAAGGAGCACGTGCTGCAGCACGTGTTGGAGCAAGCCTCAGACCAGCAGCAGCAGCAGCAGCAGCAGCAGCAGCAGCGAGAAGCACAGGAGACACCGAAGCAGCAGCTGATAGAGAGCGTCCGGGCCTGTGCCCCTCCAGAGCTGCAGCAGCACAAAAGCCATAGTGCTGCTTCGCAGCTGCAGCAGCTGCAGGAGCAGCAGCTGCTGCTTCAGCAGCAGCAGGAGGAGCACGAGCAACGCCGTCGCCAGCTTGAGCTGTTGGAGCAGCAGCAGCAGCAGCAGCAGCAACACCAACAGCAGCAGCAGCAGCAGCAGCAGTGGCAAGAAGCCTTGCTGCAAAGGCTGCTGCGCGCTATAGGCCCAGCAGCAGCAGATAGAGAGACAGTGCTGCAGCAGCTGCAGCAGCTGATGAGCCTCGTGCAGCCGCAGGCGCCAGCAGCAGAAGCAGCAGCAGCAGCAGCAGCAGCAGCAGCAGCACCAGCAGCAGCAACTTATCCGGCTCAAAGAGGGACTTCGCAACTCGATGCGCCGCTGCATGCAGCAGCAGAATACGCGGAGCCTTTTCTGCAGCAGCAGAATCTGGTTGCTGCAGCAGCCAGCAGCGAGCCACTGAATCAGCAGCAGCTGCAGCAGCAGCAGCTTCTTCAGCAGCAGCAACTACTTGAGCAGCGGCTGCTGCCGCAGCAGCAGCAGGGAAGCCATCTCACGGCCGCTGAAGGCGTGATAGCGTTGGATCAGCAGCAGCAGCAGCAGCAGCAGCAGCAGCAGCAGCAGCAGCAGCAGCAGCAGCAAGGAGCAGTTTACAGCCCCTACGACCTTTTGGCAGTTAGGCCCAGCAGCATGCAGCAATTTATTGCTGCTGGGGCCCCCCCTTTGCTGCCGCACGGCACGCTTATGCTAGTCAGCAGCAGCAGCAGCAGCAGCAGCAGCAGCAACAGCCCAGAGAAGGAATACTCAGTCAAGGGCTCAAAGCGGCAGCAGCACCAGCTGCAGCAGCCGCTGCAGGTGCAGCAGCAGCAGCAGCGGCCAAGGCACAAGCAGCTCAATGAGCTGTTGCTGCAGCCGCTGCAGTACCTGAGGCAGCAGCAGCTGCTGCGCCTGCAGCAGCAGCAGCAGCAGCTTCGCGCTCCCAACACAAGCCAGCAAGAGGGGATGTGGCAGCAGCAGCTGCTGCAGCAGCAGCAGCTGCAGCAGCAGCAGCAGCCTTACTCTGCCAACAACAGCAAAGCAGCTAAAAGGAAGCAACTTGACGCAGCAGCACAGCTGCTCAATGTAAAAGGGAATGAAACAGATATTAGTTATCTGCTGCAAGCTGTTGCTGCTGCTGCTGCTGCTGCCCTCAGCAGCAGCAGCGTGAAGGACCCCAAGGCGCAGTCTCTGTGGGCAGTCGAGCAGCAACTCACAGCCTTGCTGCAGCGGCTGCTGCTACAGTACAAGCAGCAGCAGCAGCAGCAGCAAGAAGGGCCTGCTGCGAACCAGCATTTGCGGCAGCAGCAACCGCAGCAGCAGCAGCAGCAGCAGCACATGTTGGGCAAGCACGACACCAAACGGCCTGTGCAGCAGCAAGCTGTACCAACAGCGGAAGCAGCAGCAGCAGCAGCAGCAGCACCAGCCGCAGATTGTTTCAGCTCCATAGGGGCGGCTCCTGCAGCAGCAGCAGCAGCAACAGCAGCAGCAGCAGCAAACAGTAAGAGCAGCGAAGGCTTCACTTGCGCCCAGCAGCTGCGGCTGGAAATTGAGGGCCCCGCATGCACTGCTGCTGCCGACCCCACAGCAGCAGCAGCAGCAGCTGCTGCTGCTGCTGCAGGTGTTGCTGCTGGAGAACAGCGCGTGTTGCTGCAGTATGTGCAGCAGCAGCAGCAGCAGCAGCAGCACCCCATTTCTGGGGCTGGCGCACAGGAATTTCAGCAGCCGATCCGCGGGCAGCAGCTAAAGAAGCAGCAGCAGCAGCAGCAGCAGCAGCAGTACCAGCAAGACCAGCAGCGCATGCAGCAGCAAACACCAGAAGTGTTAGAGCAGCGG